TCGACTCGACTTCGACTCCCATCCGACTCGGGTTCGACTCGTGCGTCGCCGGACGCTCGACGCAGCATCGACGCAGGAGTGGAGCGAGCGGCTCCAGGCAGGTCCCCGGCCCCAGTCATCCGTTGTTGTGATGTTTTATTGCGGGGTCCCCGGAGCTCTGGACCACATTTTGGGGACCGGCTTTTCGTCCCAGATATTATATAGTTGATTGTCCCGGGCCAGACTCCAAAATTATGGAAGACATGCGTCTTGAAATTGGTTGTAGGAAGGTCCCTGGAACGAGCAGCCAACGAGGCCCACCCAACGGATCTGGTTGACTCCAGTCTGCCTCCAGTTCGATCCAGATCGACTCGAGTTCGACTCCCATCCGAATCGGGTTCGACTCGTGCGGGGTCGGACGCTCGACGCAGCATCGACGCAGGAGTGAAGCGAGTGGTTCCAGGATCGGCTCAAGTTTGGCTCCCATCCGACTCGGGTTCGACTCGTCGTGCGTCGACGGACGCTCGATTCAGCATCGACGCACGAGTGGAGCAAGCGGCTCCAGGATGGTCCCCAGAACGAGCAGCCAACGAGGCCCTCGGGCTCGCCCTCGTCCTCGTTGTCCTCGTCCTCGCTACCCTCGGCCTCGTTGTCCTTATCCTCGTCCTCGTTGTCCTCGTCCTCGTCCTTGTCGCCCTCTTCGTCCTCGTCCTCGCTGTCCGTCTCCTCGCCAACGGTAGGCGGCGAGCGAGCGGGGGAAATCAGAAGGGGCGGGCCTTCTCAGAAGGCTCGGAAGTTTTTAAGCCTCCTTCGAATACACAAAAAAATATCAGAGGGCCTCCTTCTGAGACTCTAGGCTTCCTAGATGGGGTCCGAGCAGATGGGTTCGGAGGTTCGCGCCGTAACGCCGATGCATCGGCAATGCGTCTCGGTGTGGAGCCCGATCTTCTCCATGCTGGCGTCGCCGACGCATCGCCAGCGTCGTTGATGCATCGGCGATGCATATTGGCGATGCGGCGCGATCCGCCGACCCCATCTCCTCCGACCCCGTCTGGGAGCCCCCAGCGACGGCCTTCCTCTCACTCTCCCCCCCCTCGCTCGCCGCCGGAGCGAGGCCCTCCAGCTCGCCCTGGAGCTGCCCGACGCGCAGCACCCCGCGGCCGCCGCGGCGCCCGGCGCCACGGCCGCGGCGGAGCCGCCCGTGGGCGCCACCGCGGCGCCGCCGGGCGGCGCCGTGGAGGGCGGCGCGCCACGGACAGCCGCGCCGCGGGACTGCGCCGCGGGGCCTCCGCCGGGGAGCAAGTTCGTCGATGCGACGTACCTTGAGCGCGCCCGTGGTGTTACTGGGGGGGGGGATCGGGTTTTGAGCGGATTTCATTTCCCTTCAATTCCCTTCCCCTTCGTTCTTCCCTTCCCGTCAACTCTTCCCGTGAATTGTCTTGTCTTCCCTTTAATTGTCTCGTCTTCCGGTTAATTGTCTTGTCTTCCCGTTAATTCTCTTGTCACGTATTCCCGTTAATTGTCTTGCAATCCCGTTAATTGTCTGGTATTCCCGTTATCTATTACTTTTCAACTCCAAGGCCCCAGTGGGTGCGTTCGCATACAGGAGGAGACGGAGGAGGAGGAGGAGGAGGAGGAGGAGGAGGAGAATCCCGTATTCGCCCTCCATCTCCGGGTTCTGTGAGATCCCGGGAGGTCCCGAATTAGCGAGAATTACCGTCCAGGCATTGGAGGGAAACGTTTCCCGGAAGGTCCCGGGAGGTGGGGCCTCGGGAGGTGGGGGCCTTCCCAGTAAATCGTTGTGATTATTTTAATCAGTATAATCAATTATCGGGAATTTATCGGGACGAGTTCCTGGGAGGTGGGGCCCCGGGAGGTCCCTGGGAGGTCCTTTAATTCTGGACGGTAATCCCCGAATCTTTATCCCCAGCAATGAAAATCATGTGGGGCGAGGAGTGGGGGAGCTCGGGTTGCTCTCCTGCAGTTGCGCCTCGCCGAGAGCCTCCTCCCGTGCCTCCTCCCGTGCCTCCTCCCGTGGCTCCCCAGGGCTCCTGTAGGCCTTCGGGGTCCATGGGTGTGGTTTTCATGTAGCCCAACTTCCTCTACGTGTAATATAGGAATATAGGCTAACCATGTAAGACCGAGTATGACTGACGCCCATAATCATTAGTTGGAGTAGGCGGGAATTGTAGAGAAACCATCGGGAAATTAAAGGGAAATTATTGGAATTAGGGAATTATAGGGAAAAGGGAAATTATAGGGAAGCTCAAGCAGGGAATTATCGGTAACTCAAAACCCGATCCCCCCTCTTCTAACACAACGGGCGCGCTCAAGACGTACCCCTCGGTCATCGAAGCGCTTTCCTGCTTCAATGATCGAGTGGCCTCACCTCTGCCGGCCTTTTTTCAGGGGGCGGGCGGAACACCCAATGTATTCTCAAAGCCTTCCTACTTCATGTTTCTACCTACTTCTTACGGCCGACGGGTAATCTAGGCCTCCCAGATGGGGTCGCAGTAGATGGGGCCGGAGGATCGCGCCGCATCGCCGATGCATCGACGATGCGGCTCGATGTGGAGCCCGTGCTTCCCCATGCCGATGCATTGGCGATGCGGCGCGACCTTTCCACCCCATCTACTCGGACCCTGGCTAGGATGCCTCCTATTCCGAGGCGGGAATTTATCCATATCCACCGCCTGGAGGGTCAGCTTTCGGAGCCTCAGCAGGCGGTGGATATGGACATATTCGGGCCCCCGGGGGCCGAAATATTTCCACATCCACCGCCCGCTGGGGCACCAAAACGTCGGTTCCCATGCGGTGGATATGGATAAATCCCCGCCTCGCGCCTATAGACGCAAGAGTGACCTCTCGCCAGAGTGGCCTCTGGGAGCGGGCCCACTGCATGAATCCCGCAAGTCTGAGCTCTCAGGAGAGTGACCTCTCGCACGAGTGACCTCTCGCCAGGGTGACCTCTGGAAACATCCCCGCCTCGCATCTCGGGCGAAGAGAACTATGCACATGCACCGATCCTGGCAAGGCCCATCCTGAGCCCAGGATCGGTGCATATGCCTTCCTGGCCAAGGTAGGAGGGCGTATGCACCGATCCTGGGCTCATGATTGGGCCTGGCCAGAATCGGTGTATGTGCATAGTTCTCTTTTCTCTACTCTGGAAACATCCCCGCCTCGCATCTGTAGACTCAGGAGGGACCTCTCGCCAGAGGGGCCTCTGGAGCGGGCGCCCAGCTGGGGCCCCCCGAGCGCCGAGAGCGCGGCGGCGGCGGCAGCGGCCTGCGCGCTCGGGTCTGCCCCCCCCCCTCCCCCTTATGATGGGCCTGTCTTCCACCACCACCACCATAAGTTGGAGGGGGAGGGGGTCCCTCCTCCTCCTCCTCCTCCTCCTCCCTTTCCTCCCCCTCCCCCTCCTCCTCCCTTTCCTCCTCCCCCTCCAACTTATGGTGGTGGTGGAAAACAGGCCCATCACCTTAGTGGGCCCTGGAAACGACAGGGCCGTTGTCTTACCGGTTCCGTCTTGCCGTTTTTGTTGCCGGTTCCGACGCCGTGTTTTACCGGCTGCGTCGCCGTTGTTTGACCGGTTCAGGCTCCGGTTCCAATCCTGGAGCCGTTTCTTTTGCCGTTTCCGGTCGTCGTTCTTTTTTGCCGTTCTATTTTCAAGGGGCATCTTTGGGGAAACGGTGGAAAAACGGCCCTGCCGTTTCCGGGGCCCACAAAACCCCCCCCCCCCCCCGTCCCTTTGTGAAGCCGCGCACCAGAGGTCACTCTTGTCTATGGTCATTATTGCGTTAAGTCGGGCCTGTCCCTCTACAGGAGGGAAGTTCAGGAATAGTGAACAAATAGTCGGGGGACGATCTTTCTACCATGTTTGAATATTGTTGGCGTATTTTTTGAAGATTTTTTATTTGTCGTCTAAAATCTCCCTGTAAGGGGGACAGGCCCGACCTGACTCTTGCGTGTAGCCGAACACTGACCTCCTCCCGCTGTGGTGCGAGAGAAATCGGCGGGCGAGCCCGGCGGGGGGGGGGGGGAGAAGGGACGGGACTTCCCGGACGGCTCGGAAGGCCTCTGCATGGCCTGCTGAGAAGTTTCTGAGGTCTTCCCCAGAGACGCAAAAAGCTTCTCAGAAGGCGCGAGGGCTTCTGACATTCCCCGCCGCCTTCTGAGAGGGCAGGTTCCTTCTCACTTCCCCCCCGGCGCGCCGCCGAAAAATCACTACGGGAGGTTTTGAGTAATTTTTTGCCTCTGGGGGCCCTCGCTGGGCCCTGGGACAGTCAAAAAGCGACTCGGGATGAAAAGCTGGTCCTGGGGAAGGGGTCCAGACCTTTCTGGGAGCGACGTTGTCAAAATTGGTCCCAGGGCCAGGTCTCGGGTGTCAGATGCATTGTTTCTGAGAGTTTTCGCTGTTTCTCCGCGGTTCTCTGTCCTAGGGATGTTGCCCAGCAGTTTCGCCACGCCGAGAGCGCTCTGGGGGGGCCCAGATGGTCCAGAGCGGCCGCAGGAGATTATAGCTACTGCGCGAAAGCCCAGGGATGGGGTCCTGATGGAATCGTACCCTGCGGCTTTTCATTATTTTCGCGCCCCCGGGGCCCTCCCCGGGTCCCCGGGCCCCTGGAGTGCGTGAAAACGTCTCACGATAAGCCATGGTCCTGGGGGCAGGCCCCCGGCCGGGGCCTGTAGGGCCCGCTTCCTGAATGTGACTCGCTCCCAGACAGTTCCCGCCCCCAAACGGGTGTTTTCTATTCGCGGCCCCAGCGGTCTGGACCCCTCCTTCCATCGGGGGCGGCCAGGAGGGGGGTGATGACCAGGAGGGGTGGATATCATGGCGGGCGCCATGACATTTCCTCAGATTTCATGGCGCCTCTTCTTATTTCAATGCGTCCCCGGCCCCCCCCCCCCTTGGGCCGCGCACATGCCGGCGGCCATGATTTGCGACCCCCACTCTTGGCCGCCCCCGATTCCCCTGGGGCAGATATGCGTTCCAGATCGATGCTTGATGGTTCGAGGGCCTGATGATCGGCCCCAGGGGCCGACATCGAGGAAAAACGACCAGAACTCAGATCGTCGGAGATTCGGCTTGCCTTGTGTTCAGGCCCGCCGAGACCGCGTTGCGCGCGGCGCCACTGGGCGAGGGCGAGCCGGCGTGCGTCGTGTGCGCGGAGGCGGCGGCCGTAGCGACGACGACGACGACGATGACGACGACGATGACGACGACGACGACGACGACGAGGACGACGACGACGACGACGACGACGACGACGAGGACGAGGACGATGACGACGACGACGACGACGACGACGACGACGACGACGACGACGACGACGGCCCTCCCTCAAAAATTGGCCCCTGGCCCTCTCCTTCCGAGGCGCGTTCTGGAGTGAGGGGAACCTGGCCGTGGCGGCGAGCCGACCAGAGGCCCCCGAGAAGTCTCGCTCCTCGACCCTCCCTCGATGCTCGAGCCTCCGGCATGCAGCGTCGATGCTCGAGCTTCGATCCTCCATCCTCGATCCGTGCTCGATCCTCGATCCTCGATCCTTTCTCGATCCTCGATCCTCGATCCTTCCTCGATCCTCGAATTTCGATCCTCGATCCTTCCTCGATCTTCGAACCTGGCGGGCCGGCGTGCGTAGTGTGCGCGGAGGCGGCGGCCGTGGCGACGTTCGTGCACGGCGCTACGGGCCACACGGCGTGCTGCGTGCCTTGCGCCGAGGAGCTGCAGCGGCGCCGGGACCTGAGGTTCCATTGGGCGCCAATATCGCAGAGCGGATTACGTTCGGGAGCCATCAGGATGGGCCCAGAGGGTCCTGGAGAATTTCGTTCCCGATTTCGAAGTGAAGTTCGTGCGGATTCTTGTTGGGCGGAATGAAGACTAGAACAAATCCACGCGAAATTCACGTCGTTTTTCGCTCGTCATATCGGGGTGTTGCATTCACAGAAATCCACGCGAAACTGGGGTCAATGGGGGTCATTACCGGTTCGAACCCCCCCCCGCTCCTCGCCGCCTGCAAACGATTCCCCCTCCTCCCCCACTCCGGATGGGGGTCTGTGGTGGCGACAGTGGTTGGGACGGTAGTGGGGATGGTGGGGTGTTGGGAAGGGGGGGGGGGGGCCGTGGTGTTGGTGAGGACATTGGGAGCATGGTGGGGACAGTTTGAGGGACAGTGGGGACAGTGCGACAGTGGTGGGGGCCCTGGTGGGGACAGCATGGACAGTGGTGGGAGCAGTGGGGACAGTGGGACAGCGGTGGGGACAGTGGGGGCAGTGGGACAGTGGTTGGGACGGTGGTGGTAGGGACAGTGGCGAGGGGACAGTGGGACAGCGGTGGGGACAGTGGGACAGTGCCGGGGACGGTGGTGGTGGGGACAGTGGTGAGGGCGGTGGTGAGGACGGTCCCAATGGGACAGTGGTACAGTGGGGACAAAGGTGGGGACAGTGGGGACAGTGGGACAGTGATGGGAATAGTGTGGACAATGGGACAGCGTTGGGGACAGTGGGACAGTGGCGGGGACATTGTGGACAGTGGGACAGTGGTGGGGACAGTGGGAAGGTGCGACACTTGTGGGGGCACTGGTGGGGACAGTGGTGGGGACAGTGGGGACTGGGACAGTGGTGGGGACAGTGGGACAGTGGTGGGGACGGTGTTGGTGGGGACAGTGGTGAGTAGACAGCGGGACAGTGGTGGTGACAGCGGGGGCAGTGGGACATTGGTGGGGCCGGTTGTGGTGGTGACAGTGGTGAAGGCGGTGGTGGGGACGGTGGTGGGACAGTGGCACAGTGGGGACAGTGAGGACAGATGGAGAGTGGTGGGAATAGTGGGGATGTAACGACGTGGGTCGATGTTTTTCCCTAGCATCAAGCGGACGAAAGTACCCCCAGCCCACAATGGAACGAACCTCCAGGAGACGACCCGGTGAGTCCCCCCGTAACTTCCGTGCCGGCCGTTGCCTCGGGAAGCGGGAGTGGAGCTAAAAACGGCCGGACGCAAGCCTGATATCAATCCCTCACCACATTTGCGCGCGCGTCTCGGCGCGAAGCGGGTGGGGCGGGAGGGCGACGGCGCGTTCCGTGGCGCGGTCTGCGCCTGGTGTGGCGCCCTGCCACGGAACGGCAGGCAAATGCGAAGCGTTGCGCCCTGTGCGGCGCCTGGCGACGCAACGCGCCCTGCACAGCGCCCTGCCACTCCTCCTCCCCTTCCTCCTCCTCCTCCTCCTCCTCCTCCTCCTCCTCCTCCTCCTCCTCCTCCTCCTCCTCCTCCTCCCCCTCCTCTTCCTCCTCCCCCCCCTCCTCCTCCCCCGGACGTGACCCCCCCGAGCCTTGACCCAGTGGCACAGTCGGCGCCGACGAAGCCGGGCAAGGCCGCCTGCGGACTAATGCAAGCACAGTTGGCGATGCTGCTTGTGTCCCTGATGAGCGAAGCATCTGCGTCTCTAGATCGCCCCTTATCTGAAAGGCTTCGCCTTCCCCCTAATCGGATCAACAGTGGGACAGCACAGTGGGACAGCGGTGGAGACAGTGGAACAGTGGTGGGGACAGTGGGGATAGTGCGACAGTTGCGAGAGTGGGACCGTGGTGGGGACAGTGGGGGCAGTGTGACAGTGGCGGGGGCACTGGTGGGGACAGTGGGGACAGTGGCGGGAACAGTGGGGACAGTGGGACAGTGATGGGGACAGTGGGACAGCGGTGGCGGTGGTGGGAACAGTGGTGAGAGCGGTGGTGCGTTGGTGATCCGGGAGTGTTTTTGCCGGCGGCGAGTGGGAGGGGGGGGGCTCGAATTGATAGTGACCCCCCCGGTTTTCCAGGGGGGAGGGGGTTCGAACCCGTAGTGGTGCCCCCCGGTTTTCCGGACGCCGGGGGGGGGAGGAGGGGGTTTTGCCAGGGGAAGGGAGGAAGTATTCACAGGGGGAGGGGAGATTTTCGGAGGGGGGGATGAACCCGAGCTCCGGTCGAAGAGGGAGGGTAAATTCCCACAGCAAAGCGGTGGTGGAACACGCTCTCGCCCATATCCAGTGCGCCCCGGGTTTCTGGGGAAGGGAGCCCGAAACTTCATAATAGCTGATATGGACATAAGCATTGCCCGCACGCCACGCGGTTGTTGGGCTTGAGTCGTTTCCCGAAGGCGTCTCGGGAAAATGGGGTTTCTGAGGTCCCAAGACCGTGTGGTGACGCACCGCGCGGTGACGTCGTTGGGGACTTCGTGGTCATCATGCGGTCTGTCACCACACGGGTTTGGGACGCCTTGGATGGACTTCCTGGATGGGGTCGGAGTAGATGGGATCGGAGGACCGCGCCGCATGGCCGATGCATCGGCGCTGCGGAGCCTGATTGTCTACACGCCGATGTCGCCGACGCATCGCCGATGTCGGCGGTGCATCGCCGATGCATCGACGATACATCGCCGATGCGGCGCGATCCTCTGACCCCGTATAGTCCGATCCATATATGAGGCCTTTAGGCTTGGATGCCGGTGGGGGCCTGAAATCTTTTCATTCTGGAGAACCGAAAAAACAAGCGCCATTTTGGACGCAGATTATGCCATTCTGCGCGTTGTGGGCGCCCTCGTCATTCGCTGCCCCTCAGGTCCCGACCTGTTCCAAATCCACAGATTCTGAAATTCTGTGGATCAGTCTGCGTCGTGTACGACGCTTACAAATCTGTAGATTTCGCCTGCTCCGGGTTGAGCGGTTTGGCCCCTCTCCAGATTCAGGGGGAGGTCGGCGCCCAACTTTAGGCTCGGAGGAGAAAACTGCACCGATACCTCGTCTTCTTGTGCGTCCTCGCACTGCGAAGCAAAATCACGACGGGAGGCTCTGATCAGTTCTCGGCCTGGAAGGGCCCACGCCGGGCCCGGGAGCGTCAAGCAACGAGCAGGACGCAAGTCCAATGCCGAGTCGAGACCCCATGGAGTCAGTCTTCTCGCGGGCGGACGAACACATCCTCGGATGAAGCAAGTATACCGATGCCGCTACCCTTCCCTCGTTGCAGGCCCTCGTCGCCACGGCTGGATTCCCATCGGGGTTTTAGTCATAGCGCACCCCGGGAGAGGTCAGGGGGGTGGCGGTATCGATATCGTTTGGTCTCCCCGGAGGTGCCCCGTGTGCCGGCAGCCGTTCACCTCAGTCATCCGGACGTTTTCGGCCTGACGGCGCGGCGGGACCGGCCGCGGCGCGTGCGCGACGCATGCCCACGCCAGCCAACCTCGCCACAACCGCGTCGCCCTGGTGCCGATGCCGCGCCGTCCCGAGGGCCGTCTCTTCCGCATGTGCGGCCCCGCCCGTGCGTCCGAGGGAACGAACGACACCGCGAGCGGGGAGATGCTGACGGTGGCGCGGGCGCCAGCGGGGCGCTGCGCGGCGAGTTATGGGTTGCCGGGGGCGCGCCCTGCGCAAGGCGGCCTCCTGCCACGAGGCGGTGCTGGAGAGGCCGGAGGGTGCCAACTCGAAAGTCCAGCTTTCGAGTGCATTCGCGTGGGTTACGTCTGAGAGTCGATGAGAAAGCGCCGATTGAGCTTGACAACTCACTGGTGTTTTGCGTGTCCTCGGAAGTCCATCTTCAGAGTGCATTGGCGTGATGAGAAAGCACCGAGTGAGCGTCAATTCAGCGTCGGCTAGCATGGATTAGCGTCGGTGAGAGCCGATTCGCGTGAGCCAGAAGGACGGCATGGGGGGCTCCCCTGAGTTGCCGCAGAAACGTGCACCGATCCCTCCTGGTTTGGCCCCAGCTTTCCCGATGGGGCCTACAGAGGAGGCCCATGCCAAAAAGCACCCTGCTTGCCTCCAGGTTGACCTGGGTTCCCTGGGTTTAAATGGTTTTGCTACGGAAAGTGTGACGTTACCACACCGAAAATCAACGGACGCCCTAGGGTCTCACGGTTGGGGTTCTTCTGGAAGGTTTCTTGTGGATTGGCCTCCGCTATTTCGAGATGTCTCTTTAGGCCTGGCCACCGCAGCAGCTGACCAGCCCCGTCGACCTTCACGATCGCAGCGGGTCTCACCCGCGGCGCGCCGCCGCACCTCCACGGCGCGAGGCGGCGCTGCGTTCGGACGCAGCCCAGCAGCTGGGCGGTGGGGGCTACGGCGGGCGACCCTGCGAGGACGGCCGCGAGGTCCCGACCCGGGCCTCCGACCTCCTCCGGGAGCAGCTGAGGGACACGAGGCGACGCTGGGCTCGGAAGCAGCCCCCCACAGCGGGAATGGTGGGCTACGGCGGGCGTCTCCGCGAGAACGGCCGCGAGGTCCCGACCCAGGGCGAGGCCTCCGACCTCCTCGGGGAGCAGCTGAGGGACAGGCAGGCAGCCCAGCCGGACGTGCTGGGCGGCCGTCGCCCCGCGCAGTGGCCCATTCGCAGAGGGCGTGGCCCATGGGCCCCATGGGCTTCTATCCTTCGCGAAGCTGCCGAGGAACGACCCGTCGGGCACGACCGCGACCGACTGCTCGGCAACGACGTTCTCATCTGTAAGGTCCATCGAAGAAGAGCAACAAACTAGAAACATGAACGTTTGGCGCTCCGCGCGGAAGTCTTGGATCTGCGCTGGGCCCCCTGGCAGCGCCTCCGGCGCCGCCCCTGGCCCGCTGTGCGCGCCAGGGAGGGGGGGTCCAACGCGGATCCGAGAAATCCGCGCGGAGCGCCATAAGTTTATTTGTATGTCGTTTTATCTTCTTCTAGTCAAGGATTGAGCGCCCGAGGAAGACTGTCGCTGCGCGGCCCGCTCAGCCCAGAGGAGCCGCAGCGCGCCTACGACCACAGGGCTTCCACCTGCAAGCGCCTCGCCCCACGCGCGGGGAGAGCACCTGCGAGTGCGCGGACCCTCGCGCTGCGGCGGCCACCGTGCAGCAGTGCTTCTGCAGCGGCGCTCCTGCAGCTGCCGAGGGCGAGGGCTCCCCCCTGGATTGGGGGATCTGAGGAGCAGAGCAATTTCAATGTCATGCCGCCGTGGGGAACCCATCGGTGTGCTACTGTGGAAGAAGTGCCGTGCACTGGAACGGCAACGGAGAGGAGCAGCACGCTGACGGGCTCCCGACGGCACTCTTTTCTCTTCCCGATGGATGTCCGGCAGGGGTGCCCCGGGGTGGCGCCCTCCACGGCGACTTGTGCCTCTCGGCCCGCCACGGGGTTGGTGCCTCTCGGCCCGCCCGCGCGTGCGCAGCGCCCTCCATCCCAGCATCGCCGACGTCGTCCAGCGCGTGCCGCCTGCTGCCCTCGGTGCCGCCCGCGTGCCAGCGCGATCTATTTTGCTCGGCAGGTCGGGATGGCCCCAGCGAGGGGCCGAGCTCATGCCACGTCTCGCCCGAGCTCCCGAGCGGCCGGGCGGAGGCGGGCCGCCCAGACCGCGGAAGCTGCTCCTTGTTGCTTGCTGCTCGCTGCTTCTGATCTGTTGCCGCTTGCCGCTCGCCATGTGCCGCTTGCCGCTCGAGCCCAGAGTAGCTGGCGCAAGCGTCCTCGGGCCGACGAAAAGCCCCTCGGTCCCCCTCCGCGAAAAATGAGAGGGCGCGCCGAAGTTGGCGGCGTCGTCGTCGACGACGCCTTAGAAGCCGGCACGGGCGGAGGGCGCGCCAGGGCTTCTGGGCGGCGGCGGCGTCGACGTCGTCGTCGTCGCCGTGTCGTCGTCGTCGTCGTCTTCGTCGTGGTCGTCGTGGTCGCCGTCGTCGTCGCCGTCGTTGAAGAATCATTTCGAAAAATGATTATTGCTGATCTCCGGAAACGGTTCCGCGCGCTCTCGCCTCTTTGCCGGCTACATATTTTCTCTGGAAGCGAGGATCCCGCTCGAGCGTTGGCTTGAGCCTTAATGTGGGCTCTCGGACTGGAGGCCCAGCTACGACAACAACGGCTCCCGCCCGATACTTCCTCACCGTTTACACCGCACTCACATCTATACCCCTGGGTGGGTGTATGTGCGGCCGTTTTTGCGCTGTCATGTGCGCGCATGTGCGCGGCAGGTGCCAGTCATGTGCCAGGCCTGTGCGGCCCTTCTCGGATGGACTTCCTCCTGTGCACGTCGTGCCCGGGCATGTTCGGGGGCATGTGCGCTGTGTTTTGATGTATCCATCATACGCACATGCACGCACAGTCCGACGCACATGCGCGCACATGCCTGCACATGCGGGAGGTGTTCGAGAATCGCAGATCTGTCATCGGCACATGCACGCACATGCCTGTGCAACCTCTCTTCGGGAGGCCGCGCGGGCCCGCACATGCACGCACATGCGGTGAAGCGCGCGGGCGCACATGCGTGCACATCCCAATGCACATGCACGCTCATGCCCTAGGAGCTGTCTGGGACCCCTGTGCCTCCAATGCCTCCTGGCCTTCGCAGAGCTAACCTGGGGCGTGCCAGGGCTTCCTGAAAGAGTTTGTTGTGCGTTTAGACTCGCCCGCTGCTGGCGGGGGCGGTTCTTCGCCCGGTTCGTGAGCTGGCGGTGGCGTGCCCTCCTAGTAAAACACTCTCCCGCGCGCCTTCTCAGCTCGGCCGGAGAAGCAGGGGTGGGGGGGGGGAGGTGGAGGGGGGGGGAAGGAGGGGGGGCGGAGGAGGCGGACGCCCCCGGCTCGGCCGGCCCGCCCGCCTGTTCGGCTCGGCCAGAGGAGAAGGAGGAGGAGGAGGAGGAGGAGGAGGAGGAGGAGGAGGAAGGAGGAGGAGGTGAGAGTTGCGAGGATGTCTCAGGCGAAAGTGGCTTGACGGCCCGAGCTCAGGGAATCTCGGAATCGCTGGCCTGGCTCGGCCACTGGCGAGCTCGGCCTGTGCGAATACTGTGCGTACCTGTGCGGGGCATGTGCGGGACGTGCAACAATGCCGGGGCCGGCGTTCGTCTCCAGGCGCCGGCGCGTTCGCGTCCGGCAGGTTCCGCGTGAGACGTCGTCGGCAATCTGGAGGCCGACATGCTTTGACATGAGGTGATCTGGCCACCTTCGCCTGAGACATCCTCGCAACTCTGGTCTCGGAGATGCCCTGCCCCATGGTGGCCCAGCCACATTCGCTTGAGACATCCTCGGAACTCTGGGTTTCGAGACGCCCTGAGCTGAGGTGGTCAGACCACTCTCGCCAGAGACATCTTCGCAACTCTGACCTCAGAGATCTCCTGCCCCATGCTGGTCAGTCCACTGTCGCCTGAGACATCCTCGCAAGTCTCGATTCCGATATGCCCCGAGCTGAGGTGGTCAGCCACTGTCGCCTGAGACATCATCGCAACCCTGATCTCAATGATGCCCTGCTCGATAGTGTCTCGGCCCCTTTCGCTTGAGACATCCTCGGAACTCTGGGTTCCGAGACGCCCTGAGCTGAGGTGGTTCGACCACTTTCGCTTTAGACATCCTCGCCCGAGATGCCCTGAGTTGAGGTGTTCAGTCCACTGTCGCCTGAGACATCCTCGCAACTCTGACCTCAATGATGCCCTGCTCCATACTGTGTCGGCCTTTTTCGCCTCAGACCCTCGCAACTCTGGGTTCTGAGATGCCCTGAGCAGGTGGTCGGGCCACTCCTGCCTGAGACGTCCTCGCAACTCTGGGTTCCGAGACGCCCTGGGCTGAGGTGGTCAGACCACTCTCGCCAGAGACATCCTCGCAACTCTGACCTCAGAGATCTCTTTCGCCTGAGACATCCTCACAACTCAGACCTCGGAGGTGTCCTGCCCCATGGTCGTCTGGTCACCTTGACCAGCGACATCCTCGCCACTCTGGTTTCCAAGATGCCCTGCCCCATGGTGGTCCGGCCACGCTTGCCTGAGACATCCTCGCAACTCTGGGTTGCGAAATGCCCCGAGCTCAGGTGGTCAGGCCACTATCGCCTGCGACATCTCTTTGGCATGTGCGGGCATGTGCGTCTATGCTTTCAGAGTTTTGCTTGACCGTGCATTCGACTGTGCGTCGGACGGTGTGACATGTGCGCGCATGTGCGGCAATGCTGTTGAGGCTTTTGTACATGTGCATGGGCATGTGCATGTGACTGTGCGGCATGTGCCTGCATGTGCGGCCCCTTCCGGACCACAATTTCAAAGTGAGCACTATAGAAGTGAGCGCTATAGAAGTGAGTCCGGTGTACCCCGAGACACCCTGGCCAGAGAGGCCCCCGAACTCAGGAACGGCGCTTTCGCTCGAGACTGCCTCGCAATTCAATGAAGTTGGCGGAGGCCCAGCCACGACGACAAGGGCTCCTGCTCGATACTTCGTCACGATTTACTCCTAGAGCAACTGGCCAAGAAGGCCCCCGAACTCAGGAATGGCGCTCTCGCTCGAGACTTCCCGTAATCAAGCAAGTTGGTGGAGGCCCGGACACGGTGACAAGGTATCCCGTTCAATATATATCCATAGGTATTCCGAGAGCCCCTTCAGTCAGTGGCCGACAAGGAAGAGATTCCCCCCGAAAGGTGGTGCAACCGAAGACGAAGTGGGCGGGTATCGAGGGTTGGGGTATACGGAATGCAAGACACGCGTGCCAGTAAGAGCGAACAGTCTTAAATTGATCGTCGTCGTTGTCGTCGTCGTCAGGGTCGTCGTCAGCCTCGTCGTCGTCGTCGTGGTCGTCTTGGTCGTCGTCGTCGTCGCTCCCATTCAGAGGACGCACCACATGCTCAGCGGCCGGTCGCAGGAGGCGGCCCCGCTGCTGCCCGCCTCCGACAAGTAGGACCCACCGCCGTCGCAGTCGTCGCCGTGGCTCGAACAAGAGAGCGCAACATGACTAAGCATAAGCATGAGTTTCCAGACAGGCCGCATGACTTGGCTGCACTCCCGAAGGCACGGACGAGCCTTGCGCCGACGTCGTCGCCTTAGAGGAGGGTCGAGTCTTCTGGACGTTTTGTATCCCTTTCTAGGCCTCCTGTTCACGTGGTCGCGTTTTGTGGGCCGTTCTACGCACCTTTGTGGTCACGGTAGGATCCTCCTCGAAACTCTGGCCAGAACGCACCCCAGCACTGATCTCGGGGTCGGTCGTAGCCCTCGTGGCGCCATTGCCGCCTCGCTCGCCACCGCCGTCGTCACCGTCGTCGTCGTCGTCGTCGAGGTCCTCTTCCTCCTCCTCGTCCTCTGTTCTCCTGCCCCTTGCCTTCCTGCTTCGCGCCCCGTTCTACTAGCCCATCATTCGCCTGCCTCTGTTCCTCTCCTATTCGCGCCACACAGTCCTGCCATCCGCCCAATTTGCATGTTCCTATCGCTCTTTCTCTGTTGTTTCTGTTCTCGTCCCCGCGGGCCAAAAGCCCCTCCTAGGGCACAAGCTAAACTCTGTTTTTTCGAGTTCGTGGACCGTTGCAGTTGGGATTTCGTGCTTAACCCAAGGCGGAACGAAGACAGAACGAGGGAGAACAGCAACACAACGAGAACGGTAAACCTTTGTTCGTTCTCGCCATTCTCCCGCCCGGCTGGGTTGCCGACAGGAACGCTTGGAGGCGCGTGAGGCCGCTTGCGGCGTTGGGCTGGCTGATGACGATGTCGTCGTGGCGGCGCACGGAGGGAAACAAGGAATTGCCTTTGGAAGCCGCGCGGGACCTGCAGCGCAAGCAGCATTCGCAGGGCGGGGTCTGACCCGCTGAGTGCTGAACGCCTCCTTCCTCCGAGAATGCACTTCGATCGGATCGATGATGTTCGATAATTACTGCTTCCGGCTGGCCCGACTCGATCCGATCCCAATAATTATCTCGACGATGCGATGCGACTCGAAGGTTGTGAATGTCGTTGTTGTTGATGGTGGTTT